TGTGGGCTGTAATGAATGGATGATTAATTGAAAATTAGTGTTAAGGGTACAGGGAAACACGGGAAGAGGTGCGGCATAGCGCGGTTGTAACCCACTTTCCAGCGAGGTCCGTATATATTTCCGACAAGTTGTAAGTAGAAATTTGTGCTTTATAAAATATCTTTGTTTTCATGTGAAGATGTATTGATATTGGTCCAGTATCTCTGAAATTGCTACGTATTCTACCTTCAACCTTGTAACGTATATGCGATAATATTGAAATTTTTGCTCTGGCTGAGAATCGAAACATGAACCTTTACATAGTAGCTAGAAGCTCCTAACCACTAGTACTATGCAAAACACAACAACAATGCATCGTTCAATATAAAATTCGTCGTGCTAAATCTCTTCACTCTTTCAAAAGTAAATCGTATTACTTAGAACGCTATTAGATAAATTACTTTTCCTTTTTCGTAATCTTTTCTTTTAATCTATTATTTCAAAAATGCAGAAGGCGGTGCTCCTCGATACCGCCCGCATCGTCTGCCGCGTTGGGCTTTTATTTATTTATGTATTTTTATATTTATTTTATTTTATTGATTTTTATGTATCTTTTCATATTCATTTATACTTATATATTTATAGAACCCAACCAGATGAGAAAACTATATAGATACCCCCATAACTCTGTAGCCCATGGTAGTTGAAAACTGTGTTACAGGCTATCTTCCCCGTTTCAGTGACACATAGTTGTAATGTGACAAACTTTCACTTATTTTTATTTATATGTATTTTTTTTGTACGCCCCTCTCTATTTTAAACAATTATTTGCATCAGTTCTCTACACAAAGGTTGTCTAGAAGAGATCACTTTCAGAGTGATAAGACCGTCTATTGTACATATTCTACTTTAGAATTAACTGTTCTCGTTATTTTGTATTTTGGTGTACAATAAAGAATAAGTAAATAAATAAATAAAAATAAAATACTAATATCTAAATTTCCCAGGGTCACACAAGACTTCAGCCTTGAACTCTTTCAAAACCTTACGAAGGCCTTGCAATGAGGACTGGCGTAGGGCTGCAAAGATAATAAGGCCAAACCTGTTGCAGTGGGCTGTTCTCTCCTTTGAACCATTTAAATCAAGCGGGGAGGATGGAGTAATTCCCATCCAACTACAGAGGGGTATCGACATCCTTCTTCCTTATCTGGTGAAAATCTTCAGAGCAAGTTTTGCATGGGGATATATTCCAGAACGATGGACAATTGTCAAGGTTCTATTTATACCTAAGGCTGGTAGAAAGGACTACGCTTTACCAAAGTCCTTTAGCGTATCTTCTTATAGGCCTATCTTCCTTTCTTCTTAAGACATTGGAAAAGGTTATAGATAGATATATAAGGGATGTAGCTCTAGCTACGAGGCCCATACATTACAACCAGCATGCTTACCACAGAGGCAAATCTACGGAAACAGCCCTGATCAGTGTCATTGACAGAGTCGAAAAAGCACCCCACAACCATCAGATGGGTGAAGTCGATGCTCTCAAACAGAAAGGCAAAAATAGCGCTGTTTCAAACTTCGATTGAGGTTGCAACCACAAGAGGCTGCCCACAAGTAGGTGTTTTGTCACCCCTTCTTTGGACTCTTGCGGTTGACCAACTATTGTACAAAATGGCAGACCTACGCAGACACATTGGGTTGTGCTGATGACCTTGTAATCATTGCAAGGGGCTTTTGCCAAAGTACTTTATCGTCAATAATACAGCGAGCCTTAAACACCATAAATAACTGGTGTAGGGATAACAGTTTATCAGTTAATTCTGATAAAACTGTTATAATACCCTTTACCAAAGAGAGGTGATTGGACTAATTTGTCAAACAAAACTTAATGGCAAAGAAGTACCATTTTCCACGAAAGTTAAGTACTTGGACATAACAATCGACCAAAAACTAACGTGGAACTCTCACCTTAGCAACGTAACCATAAGGCAAAAATTGCTTTAGGTACGTGCAGTCGTTTGGTCGGGAACAACTGGGGCTTGCGTCCCAGTATGGTCCTATGGCTGTACAGCAGCATAGTGAGGCCGATTCTCACCTACGCCTCTACTGTCTGGTGTAACAAGGCCAACCAAAAGACGACTGTGGACAGACTAAATAGTCTACAAAGGACTGCCTGCCTAATGGAAAATGGAGCTATGCGATCATCGCCTGGAGCGGCTCTTAATGTACTTCTATGCCTAACGCCCCTTGATCTCTATCTAGACAAGGAGGCGAGGGCTAGTTTGTATAGAATTAACGCCCAGGGCGGTCTGAGCTTGCTCTCCTACAGATTGAGATCCATGCTCGACTCAATTAAGGAATCACCGGTCTTATGCATGATCTCAGATATTATGCGTCCACTACACACTTTTGATAAAAAGTATATAGTGGAATTACCCTCCAGAGAAGACTGGCTCAATGGCCAGGTTATCTGTTAGGTCGGTAGCCTCATATGGTATACCGATGGGTCTAAAATGGGCCTCGACGTAGGCTTGGGAATTTACGGGGAACGCCCCAAATTCAAACTTAGTATGAATTTGGGTAGATACACCTCTATCTTCCAGGCAGAAATTTTCGCCATACTTCGGTGTGCGGAAATCAATCTGCAAAATCACTACGTCAACCATAAAATTTACACAAACTCTGATAGTCAAGCAGCATTGCTAGCGCTGAGATAAAACTTAGTGAACTCAAAGCTAGTTGGAGACTGCGTGAACCGTTTAAACGCCCTGGGTTGTAACAACAGGGTCGTTTTAAGATGGGTTCCGGGTCACGTGGGTATTGTAGGCAACGAATTTGCCGACAAACTTGCACGGGAGGGCTCAAAGTGCTCACAATTTGGACCCGAGCCATTTTGTGGAATCTCAAGAAGCCTAGCCCGATTGACCCTTGAAACTTTATCACAATAAATCACTTAAGATCTGGTCTGACACACCAGGCTTAAAACATTCTAAAACCTTAATCCGGGCTTTTGATCGTAAATTCGCTTCAGAAGCCCTGGGATTAAGTAAAAATAAATTGCGCATTCTGGCAAGAGCCCTAACTGGACACTGTTGTCTTAAAAAGCACATGTCCATCCTGGGACTAAGCAACTCAAGGATGTGTCGGTTCTGTTCCATAACGGATGAAACGTCTCTGCACATCCTAACTGATTACGGATCCTTAATGCGCAAGCGTAACACTCATCTGGGACACTATCTACTCAGCCCAGAAGAAGTGAAATTGCTCACGGCTAAGCAACTCCTTCGATTCATTGAAGACATAGGGCTTAGCAGTGAACTATAGCCATAGCAGCGAAAAAATATCTAAAATTAAACAAAGATCGGTTACACACACATTCCGCGATATCATTTCGCAAGCTCTCGATGCCTGCAACATTGCATTGTGCCAATCTCGTATCGTACATTATTGATCGAGACTGGTAAACAATGCCGGGTACTTCCACACTCTTAATGAAGATATTGCTCGCATATTTTGTCGCGAAGTTTGCCTATATCAGTACAGTTATTTTCTTTGTAGGTTGGCCAAGCGTTTAATGTTTTGAAATTCACAATGAAACTTTATAACGTGCCGTATCATGAGACGCTCTTAAATCAGATGTGCAAAATAAAGGGTTTTTCAACAAAGGCGGGTAGATGAAATGAAATAAAAATAAAAAATGAAATAAAAAAATATGACATCGTTCAAATGCCCTTTTCGGATTCTTATAGTGGCACGGATCCGAGTGGTCCAATTTTCGATAACTCTTCTGCATATATCCGGATGAATTTGAGCGATGGCCTGTGGTATGTTACCTTTAGGGCATCGGTCGATTGTGATGTGTTTGCATAGACCTGCTACTTTAAGAAATCACGCAAGAAATAGTCTATCAGGGTGGAATCGCCAATTGGTGGCCAATTCACATCACCCCTGCGAGAGATAAGCTTACCCTCAAATCGCTCGTTGAGTATGTCAATCGGAGCATCCGCTGTGTGGCTCGCAGCGCCGTTGTTGCTACTGTTAGAACCACAAGTCGTCTGGGTCCATATGGTTCAAGTCAGGCCATAAAATATTGGCTATCATCGTTCTGTAACGCTCGCCGTTGACGGTAACCGCCTGACCAGCGTCGTTTCCGCAAAAGTACGAACCTAACGTCGGAATAACCTCACCGGCACAAAATCCACATCAAACGGTAACTTTTTGAGGATGCATTATCACGTGGTGAATCTCGAGTGGATTAGTGTCGTCCTATATAAGGCAATTCTGTTTGATAATACAGCTATTCATCCAAAAATGCACCTCGTCGCTAAAGATGATTTTTCGGCCAAAATTGAGAATATGAATATGATAGAAACAGCGTTATGTATGGTCATGAACTTTGAGCTCCTGGGTCCGTTGGATCTTGTACGGGTATAAGCATAAGTCCCGCCGCAAAATTCGCAGTCGCAGTCTGCGAAAGGCCGAGTTCTTGTGCACAGCGAGAAATCGACTGCCACAGCTTCTGCTGTACACTTTCACGAACTGCGACGATGTTCTCGGCCGGTCTGGCGTTCCTTGAACGTACGGGGGTCGTTCCATATTTAACCACCAAACATTGAAGAGTCGACTGTGAAGGGCCACCTCGTCTACCGTAAAATGGACGCAATGCGCGCAGGTTTTGCACTAACGAACACTCATTTTGATAATAAAGTTTTATCATTTGAACGTGCTGTTCAATCATGTTACTTGCCATGGTCATTCATGTCGCATAAGTAACTGACATCAATATCTGACTTAATCTGACATAAGTATTGACATCTTACAACGCGGTCACATTAACTTGACGCATGGCTTTGATGACGTCATTTTGGCGGTCAGGTACGGTGCGAAAAACAGGCATGTAGCTAAATAAAAACTATATTTTTGATTTTGGAGCATAGGTTTTATTTTAATTTGTATGTTGCATCATGTCTGTTTTTATTATATAATTTAAAACTATTTTATGTTGATAGGTAAATATTTATTCAAAATTCATCTTCACTATAAATAATTGGTACAATATCATGGTCTAAACTGTCTTCTTCTTCACTTTCGATCTCGTCGGATGACTCCTCTCCTCCAAGATCGATTACAAGTTGCTGCAGTACGTCGTCAACCAGGTCATCTTTTTCCCAGTATTCCTGAAAATAAATAAAATAGTGTTATAAAATTACCACCAAATAATTGTGTAGTGAATTATTAATATGTACCTCCAAAAAAGTACTTATATTTTTTTTATTTAACATCACAATACATACATAAATACATACATACATACATACTTTAGATTTATAATTTATTTACGAACTGACCTGTTGCACAGGTTCGTTTATTTACCTGATCTACAGGTATGCAAAAGCGTCTATTTTTCTTCTCATTCTCGAGAAACTGCGGCACTTTCAACACAAGATTTCTCCCTTCAATGTGTATAGTTTTCCCCATCTTAAAAAATGAGTAGTAACAAAAACAGTCCTAACTTAAACAATAAAGCAAACGTAACAAAATGTCCAAAAACAGCCTAACTTAAACAATAACGAAAACGTAACAAAATATCCAATAACAACAATAGCAACATAAAATTAGTTAAAATATCGACGCGCGTATCGGTAACAGAGATGATACCTGTCTTTGATACTATTGGAACTAAAATAATAAAAAAATAATTTCCATATAGGCTTATATAGTTTATAGAAATCGGAAATTGTTTTATTCTTTTAGTAAATTGAAGTCGGCTTTACATTTTCACCCTATTGATTATATTATAATACATGTTCTAGTTGAAAAATATGTATTGTATAAAATGATGGATATATATATCATTTGATAAACTTTTATTCTGTTTCATAATGTAAACATAATTCATCAAACTAACAATTTCATTAGTGTCAGCGGGGATTAGTATTGCCAGGTCTAGCAAGTAAAATTTCGGGACGGAAGGTAAAAATAATCGGGGATTTGGTTTTCATATCCGGACATCTACAATGACTACAAAATATAGGTTTCTTTGTAGCCTTTTTGTGCTTTATTGAGAGCCGTGGTAGCTCAGATGGTCAACGCTCACTGTAAATATCACAGTATGCGAGTAATGCGAGAAATTGTGACTGTAACTTTACTTTTGTGGTTTATAGTTATTATTCTATTATTCTATTAGAATAACTTTTCATCCAAACATCGTAAAAACTGATTTTTTTTCATTTTAGGCAAATTAAAACATTTTTGAACTATTTGTTTTTTTTTTTTTGCAGTCCCTGAATTTTTCAAATCACTCATTTTAATATAACTGTTTAAAACTTTTGTGTTTTTTTTTCGACTGGTGAGACAATGTCGTAGTAAAAATATTTTAATGTGGTAGTAGCTAACAGGTGTAATCATTTTTGCTGTCAAAATTATGGATTAAAGTATAGAATAAGAAGGTTAGTGAAAATCGGGACATTTGGCGTCCCGATCAAGGGTGAATCGGGACGTGTCACTAGACCCTTGAAAATCGGGACGTCCCGCGCAAATCGGGACACCTGGCAACACAAGCGGGGATCGAACCCGGATTGTTCGCGTTTGCGGCGAGATATCTGGGGGCACGGTAGTGCCCCCGCCAAGTCGAGCAAAACAGTGGCACGGCCGTATCATCATTGCGAGACTTGGTTATTTTACAAGTTATGTTTTTGATGGCATGTCTTTGTTCAATCATAACGTTATCTCCACACTAGGAATTTTTCCTAAGTACAACGTGGGGGCAGTTGAAATACATTAATTTCACAAGGACAAACATACAGACCTGGAACAATTATTTGTAGGTAATACAAATTTTTGTTCCATGTGGGATTCGACCCCCGGCGCTCAGCGCTACAACTCATTACCAAGTCACTCCGCCACGGAGCCAAAGGTGAAAGCCAACGAATTTGTATTTTTACTTGATCCGAATTTCTTACGTTCATTACTCATTTCTAAAAAAATATGTATGAAATGAAAATTTGCCATCATTACATCATTTAATATTTAAATATTACTATCATAAACATATTTCAAAATTACTTACTATCAAAAATATCGCATATAAAAGTTTCAATCGTTTAAAATGCTCGATGGTGCTATAGGTATCTAGTTATAGTATAGCCCTATCTTTTCTCTTTACTTCTGCATGTCTTACCAGGTCGTCACTCCATCTAGTGGGGGGTCGCTCTACACTTCGTCTATTTTTAAAATAATTGACAAAATAAAACGAGCTAAAATTTTTTTGGATATTTGACATTACATGTATTTGGATAAAATAATTAAAATAGATATGTTTATAACCAAATACATGGAAAAAATTACATTCAAGTAGACAGTTTTGGTGATTTTATAATATTAATTCGAAATATTTTGGTAATTTAGGTTTTGTTATACACTGTAAGACTATATATTCCATTATAATAACGCTTAAAATAAAGTATTTTAGCTTATAATAATGGTTGTATTCAACCTGAAAGATACCTCTGATGCATATTTTCGTAAAACGACGTGAAGGGATTGTCTTCCCTCTAAAAAACCGTAATTAAAAACTATGATTTTCCATTGCTATGTACTAAATAAAGACTTCATCTTTCTAAAGCCCTAATTTTCAGCAAATAATCTCCTCATATCATTACGATATCGCCTTTGGAAGAACCATAAAACATGTAGTTATCGACGCGAAACGCATATGCCCTCTTAATCTTAAAGAAACTTTTTCCTCACAAAAATATTTTCGCATCTTTGTCGTGTATTTTTATTTTATTTTAATGGACGTCCTAACGACTAGTCTGGCATTGAGTTGATACATTGTACTTGATTTGGTTTTGAACTTTGTATTTGTTTACAATTTACCATTTTACGCTTTTATTAAATTGTTGTTTTGACTGTATTATATTCGCATCATATCACGCGAGAGAATTTATGAAGGAATTTAGTTTCATGCTAGAATCTTTATGACTTCAACGATTAGTCATCTGGACTAAGATTTATATGCAGGTGAATTGGGCGATGGGTTGAAGGTGATTTTGTATTTTCTATTACACATTGTGCATCACATAATATTTTACACGTAGTAGACCCACGCCACAGCTGTATTATGGTTACCAGCATAAAACAGCTGCTGTATTTCGTAAGGTGATTATAGAGAATCAGAGATTACTTTTACTCGTAACAATTTATTCAACACTTATTCAAGGATAGATTGGAATGTCACTTACCATCAGGTGGACTGTGTGCATGCTTTTCACACATTTTTTTATATAAAAAAACATAATCACTACGTGTGAATTTGAATCCGGATGTAGATATTATTATCCAATACGATAGGATACACAATCACTAGGTCTTTAATGGAATCTAAGTACTGTAATGGAACCTGCAAATAACCCGAATAATAATATCAGCTTTTTATACCTCAGTAGTGGAAAATACAACATTGTAAATTTAAATATAAAAAGAACCTTATAAAAATTATCACCGCACGAATGTACAATATACGCCTGTAAAAAGGCGCTGTTCGTAATAGACTTCAATGCTCAACATTTTTTATGCAAGTACGTTATATATTAATTATGCAATTAATTGTGACTGCCTCATGGATCTAGTGGTTGTTGCAGTGTAACTGCTGATCATGAAGTCCTGGGTTCGAATCCCGGGTCGGGCGAAAAATATCAGTTCATAGAGTTTTTCCGTCAAGAAATTTTCAGTAGCTCCCCGGAGTCAGGAAGTTGGCGGTGTCCCACCCCCGTGCCTCGGAAAGCACGTAAAGCCGTTGGTCCTGCGCCTGATCTCTCTCCGGTCGTGTCGGTTTCTCCGTGACCGAAATTCGGCCTGGAAGACATAATACAATTAATTATTAAAACAATTTTTTATTTGAATTGGTTACTTTCCTTACATTTTTACGTTTAATTCTATAAAAATATTAGAATAATACCAGTTTTTACGGATTTTATCGCATATATTTAACTTTTTAAAATACCCGACGTTTTGAGCACATTTTAATGTGTAGTGTTCGCGTAAATATAAGAAATTATTAAAATATTAGAAATTAGTAAATTCTCATTCAAAATAGCTTCCTATTTTTGTTATCACTTTAACCCATTTAATTTTAACTTACTTTTCAATCCAATACTTCTTGTGATTTGCGCCTGCTATGTTGTTGTGATGTCTTAGTTAACATGAACTACCATCCCAGTTTTGAATTGCTTGTCGATGTACGTTTCGATTTACACAAAAAGACTTATAGTTCCTATCTTGAAGTTTTAATTTCATTGATCTCTGGATCACAAACTATAAAATATTTAATTATTAAATAAATGCTGGCTGTCATACATCAATCTATAGAAATTAAGATGTCTTTTTTAATTCCTTTGTGAGTTATTGCACAGGCGATCGCAAATACATAAATTCTTAGAAATATAATATAATAAAACATAAACATAAACACTCACGCCTGTCACCCAGAGGGGTAGGCAGAGACTACGGACTTCCATTTGGTACGATCCTGACATACCTCTTTCGCCTCCTTTACATCCATATATCTACGCATACATGCTCGTCGATTAAGGGTACTTCTAACGTGGCCCCTTTTCAAAATATCGCCAATTTGGTCGATAAACTTTTTTCTAGGGCGTCCCTTCCCGACTTGGCCGTTCACATCTGCCATATAAATTTGCTTTGTCACTCTTTCCTCATTCATTCTTTCTACATGACCAAACCAGCGAAGCATTCCTTTCTTAATCCTGGTTACAACATCATCTTGCATACCACATTTATCTCTTATCACGCAATTTCTCACCCTGTCATTCAGATTCAACCCTAGCATACTCCTTAAAGACCGCATTTCTACAGCATTTATTGTACTTTCGTGCTTCTTCTGCCACACCCAGCTTTCACTACCATACATTAAAGTAGGGACTAACACAGCATTATGAATTACCATACGTGCCTTTTTTGACACATTCTGGTTCTTCACAATAGAGTGTAGTGCCCCATTCACTCTATTCCCTGCATTTACTCGTCGTTCTATCCTATTATCATATATAATATAATAATGGATGCGTTATCGTGAATACGTGAACTCTGTCGCTGACGTTAAATGTCGCTAAAGTTATAAATAATATTTATTAGAAGTGAGATAACAAATGAGAGTTATATTTGTTTGAAGCAGTTTCCGAAGTTTCCCTCAATAAGATAATGTCCTTCAGGCCGGCGGCCAATATCGACATAGATTAGTGGCCTGCACAGGACAGGATTACAGGATTACAGTGGCAGGCGTGTGCGCTCTCTATTCCCTCATTGTTCGATGGGATGGCAATCCAACATGGTTAGAGATATCTGCCGCAGTACTTTCTTAGGCACGAGATTGAAATACCACCAACTTCTTAACTCAATACTGTTACTGAGAATTTCTCAACAGAAAAACTCAATAACTGATTTGGTCTGACCCGGGGTCATATCCCGGGACCACATGATCGGCAATCTTCACTAGATCAACGAAGCAGTCAACAATTAGACGAATTAAACCAGGAATACCGAAGTAAATTATTTGCTTTTTGTTATAATGCGGTATAACGTTGGGTATTAATAATTTTTTGTATACAAATTTTTTTTAATTTAGTAATAACAATTTGATTGTTGTAGATTTAAATATATTAAAATTAATTGGCTAAAATTCGTGAAATAAAATAAAAATAAGTGCCTTACCTAGTTAAAGCAGGCATCCTCAGGTCAAAAAGACTGCGGTGGCTGACCGCTAATTGTCTGAGGATGTCTTTAATATAATTGGTTTCCGCAAAGTAACGCCTGGTTTTATTAATTAAGTTGTAGTTTAAGTGAATTGATTTGGCCCATCATCATCATTTTTGTGTATACGATTTTATTTAAAGGGGATGTATTAGCGAAAAGCTAAAGTATTGATTCTGATAATAGGGGCTATAAAAGCGGACCGTTGAAAAATGTTTAAAGAGTCGCATTTAATGATGTAAGTATTGTAGAAACATAAGCATCTGAGGATCGCATTTGATTGGTACTGCAAGTAAAACCAAGTAGGTACTACACAAGTACACTTTTTACATATAATTAAAAAATTTAAAATATTATTTTTAAAAAAATTTAAGTTAACATGCCCTAAAATAGAAGTCTGTATTTATTTATTAAAGTTATATCATTTTAGTTGTAGCACGAATGGGTTGGCTGGACCGGCGTAGGATTACCCCCTTCCAGAATACTAGCGTATAATAGCAACTTGATGCTGCTGTGTTTCGTATGGTGACTGTATAGGACCGGACGCCCTTTTTACTGGACACTGAGGTATTCCATCTTAGTCCTCAGGGGTGACAACGCATCTGCATTTTGATTCTTAATCGAGGATAAGTGTAGGTGTCTATACACACAGCATCCACTTACCATCATAAGGACTGTGTGTTCGTATGGCACCCTTATTCTATAAAAAAACGTCCCGCTACTGGACAAATGTCGCTGTCATTTCTGAGAGGGTTTTGGAGCGATTAGTTCGCCGCTAATGCTTGTTGTATCTAATACAAAATACAAATATTACTAATATTTGTTTTAAGTTTATGGATACTTTCTTTAAAAAAATGTATGTGTAAAAGTGTACACACGTACACTTAAACTTCTTTAGGTCATATTCATCTTTTATTTCAAATTTCATGTAAGCAGGTTAAAAACTAGTACACTCATGCAGTTCCGTCGGCGGAACGCTACAAGAAAACGTGACGTTTTTGATTTTTTTTTAATACCGTACTTACTAAATCTTTCTACTACCTCTATAAAGAAGTTTCATTTCGAACATATATAAAATTTTTCGTACTAAAATAATTTTGTATTTTTATTATCAATCAAGACGGGCTTATCAAGGTCAAATGTCTAATTGAAAATAGTTTATCTTGGTATATGATGTTTACCAAAGTAAACGAAGAACGAATAATCTAATCTTCTTACTCGAATAAGTATTAGAAAACATGCTAATATAAAGTTATTTTTAGTAATGGAATACTTTTTGTGCCAAATGATTAACTCATCGCTATGCATAATACGGAATAATAAATTTACGAAGTAATTGTGTTTATATTAGCTGATAGTTTCAAATCTTCCGATAAACATGGCTTCGTGAATCATACAAAAACGCCAAGCGATATAAAGGTAATGTACATTTGAAGAAGAAAGAGAGTTTTGCATAATAATAATAATAATAATGTGGTCGTTTCTGCGAACGGGCTAATCCCGGTCAGCCACTAAGGTCATCTGAGGCGACTGGGACTCCGTGAGGGACCGTTCTGCAGTGATGCCAACTTAGCAACTTTATAGCTAGATCTAGCTATTATTTGGTGACAGACAGCTACAATTTAATAAAACTTGTAGCTAAATATTTAGCTACTTTTTCTAGCAACTTTTCATTTCATCATGAGACGTGAGTCTATCGAAATTCGTCGAGTAGTGTGCCGAGTCGCAAGAAAAAAATCTATGGTCATAGATGCTACGGTAAGTACAGGTCAACGCTGGCCGGGAATTCCCCGTTTCCTCTGCGACAGAATACTTAGGGCCGATTTCACCAAACTCAGATAAGTTTTATTCCAAGAGTAACTATGTAAGTTATTCTAGGATATCAAATTTTACATTTCACCAACAATTTAACCCAAGAATAAATAGAAGTAGATTTATACTCCCGATTTTGAAAGATTACGGAGTTATTCTTCGGTTAAAAATGGCCGACAGGCTGCCAGCTGTTAATTATTTGACATTTTTAATAGTCTATCGTGTACGTCCAAGTTTCTTGTTCCTGAATTGCTGTTTGATTAATAAATATTTAGTTTATTTATTATTGAGAGTATATAGCTATAAATAAGCGCATTGACCTTATTTATTGCCGAGCACTATTCTATATTAAGTGTTGACCATTTAGGTGAACTATGCAAAATGTCTTTCAAAGACTCCAAAACTACACAGGAGCTTAAATTGCATCGCACTAAATGTACAGAAATAATGAAAAATGTGCTGATGCCGCACTTTCGCAAGGAACTTTTAGATGATATTGGAAACCAAAAGTTCCGCATTATAATGGATGAGTCCACAGACGTCAGTGTCAGTATACACCTTGGTCTTGTAATTAGGTATTATAGTGCCGCACAGGAAAGGATAGTAAGCTCATTCTTGGAACTAGTTTCTATTGAGAGTGCAGATGCTAGGGGAATCGTTAATGGCTTGGTATAATGCTTGGAGAGTCACAACTTAGATATCAAACAAATGATTGGAATTGGAACTGATAATGCATCTGTTATGACGGGCAATAATAACGGGGTTCATGCAATCCTAAAAAGAGAATATGGTATAGAAAATTTGATACTGATACGATGTGTCTGCCACTCGTTGCAGTTAGCAGTGCCCCATGCCTCCGAAAATACTCTGCCAAGGAATTTAGAGAAATTTATAAATGGTTTTCTGTGTCTCCTAAGCGGCGAGACGAATACACAAAAATATACGAACTTATAAACTGTGGCGAAAGTCCGTTGAAAATACCAAGGTATGCGATACACGTTGGCTTTTAATAGAGCCGGCGATAACAAAAATTGTGACACAATGGGAAGGATTGAAAATACATTTTAATTTAACAAGAGGGAAAGACAATTGCTACTCAGCTGAGCTCATTTACAACATGCTCGAAGACAAAAGAAATTATTTATATTTTGTGTTTCTGAGAAGCGTTTTAAATGATGTTCAAACAGCAATTAAATCATTTGAAAGTGAAAACTGTAATCCATTAAAACTTCTCAATACACTCACAACACTGATACAATCAGTGAGCCAGAGAATTTTAATGCCAAGACCTGTAAACAGAAACTTATTAGATCCAATAACTGACAGGGATATTAACCCTAGGCCTTATCTTGGCTGCATGTTTGAAACTGCTCAATATAATTTAGACTCCGAAACTTTAAATGCAATACGACAACGCTGCACCGCCTTCTTACTGCAATTATTTAAGGAATTGCAACAAAGGCTTCCAGACAACTACAAGCAGTTAGAATCAATGGCGTTGCTAAATCCAGAGGAGGCAATAAAACCAATTAAGTCAAACACTATCATCGACGTTGCTGAAATTTTGGGATTTACACCGGAAATAATAGGCAATCTGTAGTGTTATGCTTACATACATACTTACATATCATTTTACACTATTTTATTTTTATTTTTCCATTCTGTTTTTGATTTTCTACATTCTCCTCAAAACTGGATATTTTGCATCACCTTTATTTCCATAGGATCCTGTAATATTTTTAATTCATAAGAACACAATAACAAATCATTTTCACTTCGTATTTTCACGTTATCAGCACTTTTTAAATCGGTGTCAATGGAGTCTACCTTTTTCGATCTTTTATTTAGTTCTCCGTAACTCTACAATTTCGGGTTTCGTGCGCGCTCTTGCGCTACCTTTTTTCCTATATAAATAATATCTCATTTTTCACTTAAATCTTGCCGTTTCTGTATTACGAGCTTAAAACCAAAATTTGACATGTTTTGACATCGTTGTTTATCTGGTTGTCGTGGCAATTTTTATTCAAATATTGTTACCGGCCTGATGTTTTTACTTCAAAAATACTCTTTTCTTCTTGGCCATTTACAAAAATTTGCTTTTAATTTAAATAATTTCAAATAATTTCTCGTTCTTATCCCAGATCCGTCAAAAAGTATAAAAGCCGAAGAATCGGCCAATAGAGGTCCTCACTTCAGCTTTGATACGAGAAGCACCTCTTAAAGGCTTTATCCGCACTGCCTCGGGATCTTGCAAGCCTTCTCCTGAAGTCGTCGCCTAGCCACGCCTACGCCTCCACCTATTAGTGCCCGCGCTATCTTCGGCCGCTGAGCGTGTCTACTCCGGACGCTGTGTGTGTCTACTCCGGACGTTGTGTTTGCCTACTTCAAGCGCCACGTGTACCTACTCCAGACGCTGCGTGTCTACTCCGGGTGCTGCGCGTATCTGCTCCGGGCGTTGCGTGGGCCTACTCCAAGCGCTGCGTGTACCTTCTCCAGACGCTGCATGTGCTTTCTCCAGATTCTGCGTGTACCTAGAGCAGGCGCTGCGCACCTATCATAGGCATAGCCTGTGCATACTTCGTTGCAGTATCTTTATTTTTGTTATTTTTTTTAATAATATTGTAAATCACTATCATCATTACAGCCCATCATCACCTTCATACCTTTTTTTTATAAAAGAAACTGTAAATCTTTTCAAATTTTTAAATAATTTATTTTATTTTTGGTTGTTTTGTTGTAGTTAGGTTAGGTTATTTAGTTTTTAATTGTCGCTTCACGACAATTTGGCGCCCGACGTAAAAGTTCTTCTTTTTCTTCACCTTAGCTACGCCTTATCCATTTCCTTTTGATTGAATTGCTTTCTCTTTCGTTCTTAACTCTTTATTTACTCATCCTTATCATATCTTCCAAATTCTAAAACAAAACTTCATCTAGTTTTTCAACTTATCTGGATTATATTTAGACCTACATATAACACTTACATTTATCACCTTAATATTTTTATTCTAGAGAACTTAAAGAGGTACTATCTTCCAAATTCTAAAACAAAACTTCATCTAGTTTTTCAACTTATCTGGATTACATTTAGACCTACATATAACACTTCACTTACATTCATCACTTTAATATTTTTATTCTAGAGGTACAATTTTTTATTAAATTTTTATTTCTTAAACTTAACACTTAATTATAACGATGAAACGGGTTATTAAGTACGAATTCCTTAACAAGGCCGAACTCGAATACGAAGTGAAGATTAGATGTGAGGAACCAGCTAATACTGTTTTGCTTCTAAAAAAACAGGTTTTGCGTTTAGTTGAGAATTCTCACCCTGAAGATATTCTGACTTCTCCAATTCCGATCGAGGATGACTTGTCTCAAATTGGTTCTACTTTGACTTACCTGGACTGTAAAATTGAAAAATTTTTACAAGGTGAAACCAAATACTTACGATTAATAGAAACTTTTATTAATCATGTTTTTTACAGATTGGAGCGAATAGATACTGACTTATATCCAGACTTTAAAGCTATTTTCGATACTTTGAAGATGAAATTTGACGCTATTACTAAACAATTCGAATCCTTGACTCCACCTCCAACTGAAAATGACTCTCCATCACTTGACCCTCCTGTTGACCCGATTGTCATGGAACCTCCTCTTGTTTCTCAAACATCTGTTACGATCCATACCCCGTATCCTTCACCACTACCTCAATCTTTTTCTCCAACTAACGTCTTCAAAGATCTGAAAAGACACACGTTCAATGGTAAAAGCTGTCCAAGATCCTTTCTTCAAAAACTTGAAGAATACTGCTTAGCTCGCGGCTTATCCAAAGACTTGTTGATCTCTCAAGCATTTGAAATTTTCACCGACAATGCTCTTCATTGGTTCAGATTTAAATATAATCAGAATCCAAACTTAACTTGGAACGAACTTTCCTCTTTATTAATCAAAGACTTTGGTGGTTTTGATTATGATTATAAACTTCTAGAAGCGATTAGGAACCGAACTCAAGGCCGTGATGAACCTATCGTCATCTATATTTCCATCATGTCTGGAATGTTCGCTCGTCTTTCGAAGAAACTTTCTGAAACAGAACAATTGGAGATTATTTTGAGGAATATTCGCCCATGTTATTCAGTCTTCGTAGCTCTAAAAGACATTGACTCTATCGACTCTCTTCTGGCTACTTGCCAAAACTATGAAAAGTTCCTTGACAGAGACAAACAATTTAAAGAACCAAATGTACAACAAAGTCCTCTTATTTCTGAATTCAACTACAAGCATTCCACTTCAAGTTCAGTTGGCTCTTCAAATTCTTCTAATAACTCACAACCTTCTCCTCCCTTTATGAATAAATTCACTTCATCCTACAAATACCCTTCTAGACAAGTTAATAGTCTCTCTCAAACTAAAGCTCCTCAAGAAAGCTCTTTTTGTGTTCGCTGTCGTAAACAAGGTCATACTTTGAACACTTGTACTCAACCACGATTCGTGATTTGTTTCAAATGTGGTCTTAAAGGTTTTAAAACTGCAGATTGCCCTACTTGTTCTCCCAAACCACATACTAGTTCAAAAAACTAACTGCTGACTTGAAAAGTAACTTAAACTTTGATAGTGACGATTGGGCTAGTTGGATTAAAACAATTCAAAACTTCTTTTCTTGTTACAAAATCTCTTCTACACTCTACTCCAAAGAACAAGATCTTAATCGTCCATTCGTTAATGTCAAAATTTATGACTTAACTTTATCTGGTTTACTAGATTCTGGCAGCTCAGTAACTATTCTGGGTAATAATTCTCATTTGGAAATTCTTAAACTGGGCTGTAAACTTTTCAAGTCAGATCTTATTAGTGTCTCTACTGCTAATAATCAAAAAGTTAATTCCTTGGGTTATTTTGACTTACCTGTTCATTTCAATAATCAAACTCATTTGATTAAAGCTTATGTTTTTCCGGAAATATTTCCTTCGCTAATACTAGGTATTGACTTTTGGAGAAAATTTAATCTGTTACCTAGTGTTTTATCTTCTCTTAACTTTACAGAATCTAAATGCTCTGCTATCGAAATTAAAGATATTAAAGTTTTACCTTATGAGCATTTAACTCCTAACCAAAAGGACATCGCTAACGACATCATCCAACGCTTCAAGACAATTTCTTTTGAAGAAAAAGGTATCCTGGGAAGCACACACTTAATCACCCACAAGATTGATACTGGTAATTCTCTTCCAATCAAACAAAGATGTTACAGACTGTCTCCTGAAAAACAAAAGGCGTTAATTAATGAAGTTGACAAGATGCTGGGATGGAACGTCATTGAACAATGCGAAAGTCCTTGGCTATCTCCAGTTCTCATCACTCCGAAGAAGAATGGTGAATGGCGTTTCTGCGTAGACAGCAGGAAGCTTAACTCAGTTACACGTCGTGATGCTTATAGTCTGCCACTAATAAGCGAAATTTTGGACAACCTGAAGAATGCCAAATTCTTATCAAGCATCGACATTGCGAAAGCATTTTGGGAGATTCCCTTGAATCCTGCTGATAAAGATAAAACTGCATTTTATGTACCTGGAAGAGGCATGTTTAGATTCAAGGTAATGCCTTTTGGTCTCTCTAACTCACCTGCAACTCTACAAAGATTAATGGATATGCTTTTTACTCCTGAATTTGAGAACAAGGTATTTTGCTATCTGGATGACATCGTTATTATTAGCGAGACTTTTGATGAACACATATCGCTTCTCATGAAAGTTCATGAAAAACTTTCATATGCTAATCTGACTATTAACTTTGAGAAGAGTCAATTCTTCAAGAAAGAACTGAAATACCTTGGTTTTCTAGTGGACGAGTATGGTCTACGTGCTGATCCAGATAAAATAAAAGCTATTTTAGAATATCCTGTACCTACTTGCAGAAAAGAAGTACGAAGATTCATAGGCACCTGCAGCTGGTTCAGAAGATTCATTCCAAACTTTAGCACCATTGCCTCTCCACTCAACCAACTAACCTGTTCCGGGAAGAACGCTCCTAAATTTTTATGGAATTCACAAGCTGCAGCTGCTTTCCAGAAACTTAAAGAAGCTTTGGTAACTGCTCCTGTCCTTGCTTGCCCTAACTTCAAACTACCCTTCTCTGTACATTGTGATGCATCAAATTATGGCATAGGAGCAATGCTTACTCAACATCAAGATGACAAAGAAGTCGTGATTGCTTACATGAGTAAAGCACTAAACAAAAATCAACAGAACTACTCAACTACTGAAAGAGAAACATTGGCTGTAATAACTGCGTTAGAACATTGGCGATGTTACCTAGACAATGGTAAAGAATTTACAATATATACTGACCATGCTGCACTTAAATGGTTTCAGAACTTATCGAATCCATCAGGAAGACTTGCTCGCTGGACTTTACGCTTATCATGCTTTAACTTTGTCCTGAAACATAAAAAAGGAAAGGATAACGTTGTTCCAGATTTATTATCAAGACATAAGAATCAAGAACGTCCTGATACACGAGAAACTTCACCTCAAGGCGTACATCCTATTACGATTGAAGAACCACCTAATCGTGAACTTGAGCATTACAACAAGA